GCATCTCTAGTATCTTCTAGATTGAGCACTGAATCCCAGTGGCTAGACAGAAGAATTAATCTAAATCTATACAGAAGCCTCTGAAACCCCATAAAATGGGGTCCCTAATCCATGAACTATTGGAAGTCACTTACAGAACTTTCCTTAAACATTCCGTGAGTATATTGTCTCATACTATAGAATTAGAATTTATAAACCCTATTCCATGATGAGCTATTTTTTGAGCTATAATGTATCTTAAGTAAAGCTATCTTTAGGTAGGCTTTTTCCTCTAAAAGAATTTTTATCAAAATCAGATTTAAATAATTTTTTTTTTTAAATCATTGATTTTTATTCACCCTAAAGCAGCCCAGCATGGAGGGGAGCGGGGGACTGTTTGGAGGTGGGCCTTGGCTGCCCCAGCCTGGCTGGGCTGCTGGTTAACTGCTCACCAGGTAGGCAACTCCCAGCAAGGGTCATGCTTACTGGGTGACTGGTTAAACCTTTATGTCCCTAGTTCACACCGTGACCCCCAGCAGGACAGTATTGAAGCTGCATGGAGCTGAGCCTGTGGCTGAACTCTTGGGGGAGAGGGTGTGGGTGTGTGTGGCCCCACTGCTAGGCTCTGGGGGATGCAGTTGCCGAGGGCACTGAGAGCCAGAACTGGTGGCTATAAAAGTTTATGGGACTGCGGGAAACATGGCCACACCTATGATAAGTGGACATGTGGCTAACTAAAACTCATGCTGAACCACAGATGTTGCTGGACTACAGAGGTTCAACCTGTAGTAATTTATTTGTGGGCTTTTTAAAGACAGTGCTTCATACTGCCCTAATGCCCTTCTGAGGTAAGGTGATTATCTATTTTGCAGATGGGAAATGGGGACTCTTAGCACAGGGAGATTAAAGTCAAGTGTCTAGCAATATGGATGTTCAATTTGAGATGCCATGGGCCTTATTTTCTCTAGAGTATTCAGCATTTTATAATGCTTTATATGTTCAGAGCAGAGCGAAGTGCTCAGCATTTCTGTATATTGTGTCCCAAATGTCTAGAGGTGAACACTCAGAAAATTAAGAAGATACAATTTGTGACCACGGGTGAAAAGTTTAGTTTGTGACTTGCCAAGTATTACATAGAACTCTGGCAGAAGCAGATAAAATCCAGATTGCACGAGTAGTATTCAGCTGTTTTCATGTGATTGACCTTTCCTCTTCTTGCAATCCCTGGTCTCATTTGCTGCACAGCTTTAAGTATGCACAGCAAACGATGTAGAGTTCCAACATACAACAGTGTCATTCACTGTTTCATTCCCTGGGCACTGGCTGTCCTATGCAATGAATGAGGCAGGAATTTTGTAGAAAAAATTAGTATGCGATTATATAATTAAACCCTATAGCATAATGAATATTCATCAAGAGGAAGTAAGGTTGCCCAGGCAACCATTTTTAATGTGGCTTTTAAAGTAATTTATTACATTTTTTAAAAAGAGCAAACTGGAAAAAATATTCACACGGCACGATGGGGCGGAAGGAGTCAATCTAGGTCATTACCAGCTTTCTACAACTTGAATTAATGTTTTAGCTGGGAGCGGAAAGTGGCTGTCTGTCATCTATGTGGAGACTCAGAATTCCTGGTTTCACTTCCAGGTTCCGGAGCAATGTATGTTCTAGGGATTACAGATCCTGTTCCCCACCTCATCCCTCCTGGTTACTTCTATGCTTAAAGGTCTAGAGAACATGACCTATGAGGGAAGGCTGAACGAATTGGGTTTGTTTAGTTTAGAGAAGAGAAGATTGAGGGGGGGACATGATAGCACTTGTCAGATATCTAAAAGGGTGTCATAAGGAGGAGGGAGAAAACTTGTTCATCTTGGCCTCTGGGGATAGAACAAGAAGCAATGGTCTTAAACTGCAGCAAGAGAGGTTTAGGTTGGACATTAGGAAAAAGTTCCTAACTGTCAGGGTAATCAAACACTGGAATAAATTGCCCAGGGAGGTTGTGGAATCTTCGGGTACGTCTAGACTACATGCCTCTGTCGCCAGAGGCATGTAGATTAGGCTACCAGACATAGGAAAATGAAGCGGCGATTTAAATAATCGCCGCTTCATTTAAATTTACATGGCTGCTGCGCTGAGCCGACAAACAGCTGATCAGCTGTTTGTCGGCTCAGCGTGGTAGTCTGGACGCGCGGGTGTCGACATCAAAGGCATTTGTCGACCACCCAGGTATGCCTCCTGGGATGAGGTATACCTGGGT